GTAGCAAAAGGTCTCCGTTTTTAAACAAAAACGCAGTAGTATGGACGGGGCCTAAAATTGGCAGCATGGAGAAACCCAGGCTAGTCCCGCCCTACATTTGTTCTTGTTTGAGAAGCCGTTTCACTTGGATATATGTCTCACTAGGGAAGAAAAGACTATTGCAACTTCTGTTCCATATATATATATATATATATATATATATATTAGGGCTGTGCACAAATTAATTGCGATTAATCGCATCCAAAATAAAAGTCTGTGTTTACATAATATGTTTGTGTGTGCTGTATATAATTATTTTGTATATATAAATACACACACATGCATGTATATATTTAAGAAAATGTGTTATTCATATATAAAATATTTATATAATATAGATTATGCATTTCTAAATATATACAGAATTTAAGCGCAAATAATTCTTATATATACATGCATGTGTGTGTATTTATATATACAAAATAATTATATACAGCGCACACAAATATATTATGTAAACACAGACTTTTATTTTGGATGCGATTAATCGCAATTAACTTTTGCACAGCCCTAATATATATATATATATATATGAAGAGTTCAGATGCAAAAGCCTCTAAATGCCATTTAAAATTTTCTTCTTTAATGATGATTTTTATCAAACTTGTATATTTAAGTTCAGTAATTTCACTTAAATAACAATTTATTAAAAGTAAAATAGGTAATTATCATTGCCATTTAAGTGAAATTACTGAACTTAAATATACAAGTTTGATAAAAATCATCACTAAAGAAGAAAATTTCAAATGGCATTTAGAGGATTTTGTATCTGAACTCTTCTTATATATATATATATATATATATATATATATATATATATATATATATATATATGCACACAAACATGAAAAAGAATACAAAATAACACTGATCCGTGATGCCTTGAAATGCACTCTAGGTAGGCAGCACACTAGTATTGGCAGATCTAAAAGATACGTGCTGCTGTCTTTATCTACGCATGAACCTCTTCCTGCTGTTTATTACAGCACATCATATGACTTGTGTGTATGTGTGCGTGTTATAATGAGGTTAAACACTGTAAACCCTGATTTACTGAGCGCACACTGATCCAAGTTTAATTTTTTTTGCCTTCTTATAACCGGTTTGAAGAGATAAACCACTGTAAAAATCAGTTATCCATTTAAAACGACTACATTTTACGCCCACTTAACAAGATCTTCTGTTAGTTCAAGAAGGCGGTTTTGTAATCGCTGTACAAATAATTGGTTTTCCCGGGATTCTCCGATGGTCATTACCAAACATATTATGTATTAGTAATGTCACAGACCTATATGTTCATTTAAGGAAGGAGATAAACGAGCCGCGAGGCGCCATCTTTCGTTCTGAGACAGAGTGAGTCAGTGGTGTGTGTTGCTCAATGTTAGCTGCGCGCTTATTAATCTGTGTGTCTAAACACAAGCGTCATGAGTGTCGAACGTCCTGTCGACAAAGTGAAAGATTTTGTGAAAAGCTAATAACGGCAGAGGCCAGCGAGTCTGAGGCGTAGGCCGCACCCTGCTGTGTGCACTGTGGGAGGACCGGAGAACACTGATAAGGGGACCAGACTCAGTGTGTGTGTGTGTGTTTACACACGTCAGCCAAAGCTGATGGAGAAAAGGGAAGAAAACTGTTGAGAAAGAGTTTCATTCCATGAAAACTGCATTAAGGGGCTTTCAGGACAAGGTTCCTTGTTATTTTAGTATCATTGAGATACACATTTTTGAAATTAGTTGTATATTTCACGTTTTCATTTTAGTTTAAGTGTCATTTTTATTACTTTAAAAAGTCTATATAGATTTTTTTTAGTTCACTCTTAGAAAAAACGTGATATAGAACTAGGTTTCTTGACTAATTTTTAAAGAACACAAGGAGAAATGAAATGTATAAGGGGCTATTTAAAAAGAAATTCTAGTGATAAAGTATGTTTAGTAGCTAATTAATTCATAAAACTTGAACTAAATCCATAAAATGGTGGGAATTAGAGAAGACAAGACTGAAAAAGAGACTTGCAAGATTTTCTTGCAAGGAACGGTCATAGAAGTGCCTACAGAGGGGACATCCTTCCGTCTTGTTCCTCCCCCAAGGTTGTTTTCCCACGGCTAAATGAAGATATCTCTCAGCCTCAACTAATACATTGTTTAGATTTGTCAATAATATTAATCATATTATATCCTTGAATGGAGACGGCCTCACACTTAGTCACACATTAAAATACAAATGCAAACATACAGAACATATTAAAGGGTCACTCCACCCTTGGAAAGATGAATGTGTATTTAAAATGGCTCATTTAAGTAAAAGAAATGTGAAATTATTTTTGAATTTGGAGTTTTCTAGACTGAGAAAAGACAGAAAATATATTTTTGGCTTATGTGGATGAAAGACAACAACTCCCAGAATGCACTTGCTTCAATGCCCTAGGAGGCCACGCCTACTGGTAACCGCGCAGAAGGTAAACAACAGTCTACTAGTGATTCTCCGCAATGAGTCTGCCCGAAAATGTGTTTCGAGATCGCCCGAAATGTCCGGGATTCGGCTTTTGCGTTCTACAGTCGCCATTCATCATGTTTACTGTGGCGAGCGGGACGAGTGAGGGAGAATTATATACACTACCGATCAAAAGTTTTAGATCAGTAAGATTTTTTATGTTTTTAAATGAAGTCTCTTCTGCTCACCAAAAAAATGACTGAAATATTATGACAATTTAAAATGACTGTTTTCTATTTTAATATATTTTAAAATGTAATTTGAAAGCTGAATTTTCAACATCATTACTGTTGCTGATTACACATCAGTTTTCAGTGTCACATGATCCTTCAGAAATCATTCTAATATGGTGATTTTATGCTCAAAAAACATAAATTATTATTTTCAATGTTGAAAACTGCAAAATTCTATGGTGAATAGAAAGTTCAAAAGAACAGCATATATTTAAAATATAATCTTTTCTAACATTATAAATGTCTTTACTGTAACTTTACTGTAAATTTACCTCATCTTTGATGAATAAAAGTATTTTCTAATTTCTTTCCCCCAAAAATAAAAAATAAATTCTCACTGACCCCCAAACCTTTGAATGGTAGTGATTAATGTTACAAAAGCTTTCCATTTCAGATCAATTCTGTTCTTTTGAACTTTCTATTCATCAAAGAATCCTGAAATAAAAATATAAAAAACTGTTTTCAACATGGATAATAATCATAAATGTTTCTTGAGGATCATATTATAATAATTTCTGTAGGATCTGTAAATTCAGCTTTGATCACAGGAATAAATTACACTTCACTATATATTCACATAGAAAACACATAGATATTTCACAATATTACTGTTTTTTTTGTATTTTTTATCAAATAATTGCAGCCGTGGTGAGCAGAAGAAACTTTTTTTAAAAACATAAAAAATCTTACCGATCTAAAACTTTTGACCGGTAGTGTATATAATGTTATGTTGCTGTAATTAACCTATTATCTTCCAATAAACATTTACTAGACTTGGCTACATAACATGTAACTACTGACTAGATTCACGAGAGGTCGGCTAATGTGTGTAAAAGTAAAAAATACAGTAATTTCATTAATACTTCGGAAGCACTGAAAATGAATGGGCTTCAATGCAGGAACTATCAGTGTTTGGAACTATTGGAACTCGCGTTACTTCCGCATTCCTAAGTTCCTATGGCGGTCTATGGGAGTGTCGGAACTCTCTCTCTCTCCATGGCTCTGGTTCCGTTCAGCTCGCTGGGAAACAGATTTTCCGATTTAGACTTTTTTTTGTGTATTAATCAACTTGCATGGATAAATAATTCAACACAAGACTAATAATGTGCACTAACAAAGTAAATAGGGTAAATTTTGATTTCATGTCAATTTTAAATGTGTTGTATCTAACAGAAAAGATGAGGGAAATTGAAATGCAAACAAAACTGGATCTGCTGAAAAATGATCAATGTTTCTGTGCCACAACATTAAAGACGTTTTAAGACAAAAGTACATAGCATGCAGCAATACCAAACATATCTCGACGTAAGTGAAGAAAGTAGAAGTTAGAAAAAGAAAGTAAAGTTAGATCTAAGTAAAGCTCTTGAGACGTCTACTGTAACAGAATCACATTAATACATTTAGGCCCAGTATATTTTTTAAACACACCCTGTGATTATTTTGAGGTTCATTTCATGTTTAGTGGGGTAAGATGAGACGGTCTTGTCAGAATGTGGTTAACGCTAACAGAACATCAAGCAAACAACATCTCAAGAGGAACCACCAACTGTGAGACATTTACCACTGTGGTATTCTACATCAGAGGAATATTCACGTTATTAGAGCCAAAACTGTCTTGGATGGTGAAAGATTATGAAAACAGGAACTGTGATCTCATCTGCGCCACTTCCTTTTTGACACCCTAACACTTCAAAAACTTTTTTTTTTTATATATTATTTTTTATTATTTGTATTTAAATGACATTGAAGTTACATTAAATGGTTCTGTCCGGCACTTATGGGGTTCCCATCATTTCATCGATTTAGTTTTATTTAATTATTTTTTGTTTTAATTCACTTTTAATTTTAATAACATTTTATAAAAGCAGCTTGTAAAGACACTTTGTCACTAGAAAAATTGAAATAAACCATTAAACATGAAATTTAAGACATTTCTCCTTATATATAGAATTTATTTTTAATAAAGTGTTTAAAATTGAGTCTAGAACACTAGTGTTCTATATAGAACCCCCCAAATTCTATGAGTGTAGATAAAAAAAAAGCCCATTTGAATGATACCAATTGCAGTTTTTGTCTTATTGGAGATATTTGTATATAAATAAACATCTTTTAAACATACTAATTCCCTTGAATGGATAATAATACTCTCTATAACTATTAAATATAGATCTATTTTAATTCAACAGCCACAACAACTAAATATGACAATTAAAAAGAGAAATATCCCTGTTGTGCTGGCAGGAGGGAAGACGCGGACGAAGGACAAATACCGAGTGGTGTACAGTGACGTTCAGCGCCTGGAGCTGGAGAAGGAATTTCATTTCAGCCGATACATCACCATCAGAAGGAAGGCGGAGCTCGCCGGAGCCCTCAGCCTATCAGAACGCCAGGTAGGTCATGTAAATTCATGCCGTCTAATTGTAAGAGTTTTGTGTTAAAGGGCACGATGTTGGACAGATTTAGAAAAGCATAAGATGATGGTGATGTATGTAATGGTACACAGGAAAAACATCTAAATGAAATGTACTACATAAAGAAAAGAGGAAGATGTTAAGTCTGTAGGCAGTTCTCCATTTGCCTATTTCTATGAACACAATTTTGGTATATCTCATACAAAACTTAAATACGTATACACTCATTTACTCAATAAATCGTTGATGGGATGTGTCTACTACAGCTACTGCAAAAATATATATATAAAATAACACACACACACACACACACACACACACGAGTACGAGTAGAATGGATGTGTCTACTACAGCTACTACAAAAATATTAGGGCTGTCAAACGATTAATCGCGATTAATCGCATCCAAAATAAAAGTTAAATAAATACACACATGCATGTATATGTAAGAAAAAAAAAAATTATTTATATATAATATAAATTATATATATAAATCTATATACAGTATATACATGAAAATATTTCTTAAATATATACAAGCATGTGTGTGTATTTATATATATATATATAATAATAATTATACACAGTGCACCCATATATTATGTAAACACAAACTTTTATTTTGGATGTGATTAATCGCGATTAATCGTTTGACAGCCCTAATATATATATATATATATATATAAAATAACAAACACACACACACCAGTACGAGTAGATGGGATGTGTCTACTACAAAAAAATATATATAAAGTAATACACACACACACACACACACACACACACGAGTACGAGGAGGAGTAGATGGGATGTGTCTATACACTCATTGGTTGTTCTGAATCAGTTAAATGACTCTGACTCTCTGATTCACAGGTGAAGATCTGGTTTCAGAACAGAAGAGCCAAAGAAAGGAAAATAAACAAGAAGCGACTGCAACAGGCCCAGCAGAGCTCTACATCCACTCCTCCCAGCATGCCCAGTCACACCAGCGCCACCATGGTCTCCAGCACCAACAACGCTTTGATGACAGACAATATATCGGCCACCATTAAAGAGGAATACTGAGACTCTATCAAACCGAAGGACCGACGGTACATGTTTACACAGTTTCAGCGACACGGAGTGGAACGTTCATATTGCACTACACAAATGACACGCAGACACGTTTTATTGTGATAATGCGCACAGTATTTCAATTTTTGTAAAAAATTATGATCTCAGAGTATGTCGGACGACCGAAGACACGTCATAATGCTTTCTAAATTGTTTTGCGTACTGCTTTTGATGACCTCACTAACTGCGATGATGATTTGATGACTATATTTGCTGCGCGCGCATCACTACTGCTTCGCTTCGTAAAATATTTCACACCGACTGGAAAACTGACATTTATAAAAAAACAAAAAAACAAAAAACAAAACAAGGAGTCAACTGGTGCCTCTGTGTAATTATTCTTTTTAAAAAGTTTAAAATTTTTAATAAAAAGATATTTGAAGAGAATGTAAAACTTGTCATTTGATATGTGTGTGTGTGTGTGGGGGGGGGGGGGGGGCAGCATTCACATTATTGTAATGTCAATTAAGCACATTTTTATCCAAAGTCTAATTACTGTAATTTACAATATTACTTTGGAGTTGATCATTTGGTGTGTGTTGGTGTGCGTGTGTGTGTTTGGGGCATTGACATTATTTTAATGACAATTAAGCACATTTTTATCCAAAGTCTAATTACTGTAATTTACATTATTACTTTAGAGTCTTTTTAAACAAAATTAAAAAAAAAAAAATGTTAATTGAAATAAAAAATATGAAGCTAATACAATGAATGAGATTGGTTTAATGAACCGAAACTCAAAATATTGTGTTATGTGAACCACAAATGATCGTCTGAAATTTTTACAGTGTAATTGCCATTATTTTCAATGATTCTCATTACCGTTTTTTTTTTATAATACAATATTTTTGAATGATTTTATAGGTCAAAATAAATCAATTAAATAAATACAATGAAATATACAAGTCACAATTTAAATAAAACATTTGTCTGCATTTTTTTAATTAGTTATTTGCAAGAGAATTTGGGGCAGAAACTTGCTTAATTTGACAATTTTTTTTTTTTTTTTTTAAGATTCTTAATTTTTTTTTTTTAAAGCAAATCATAATTTCGTACTTTTTAAATATGACCTCGACATGATCCGGACCGGTTGGATCAGATTTAACTATATCATGCAATTCCATTTAAACTGTAAATCAAGCTGTACTTTGAGAGGGCGGAAACCGTGTGAGTGTTTACTGATCACAATGAACTGTGTGGATCATACTGTAAGTTGCGATAACACAAGGAAACAAACACAGCTTATTGATAAAAACAGAAGCAGAAATGGTGACCGCGCACTCAACGCGCTCAATCATTGACAGACGAGCCAGAGGTCGAGCAGAAGCTGCGATCCGTACGGAGGTCATGGGGTGTGTGTGTGTGTGTGTGTGGCCCGTTCAAAGTCAGGCGATCCATGTCAATTAAAGAGCCAATAAAGACCTGATGCCAGTAACGTTCATCTCATGTCCTTCAAGATCACACGTTTGAACTGTTAATGTTTAATTGGTTTCACAATGTCACCATTGACCCAGAAGGAACACACAGATGTGTCAAACGTACTGACACTACATATATTTAAGTTGAAGTGTCAAAATGAGTGTCAAAAGTCAACTTTTTCACACTTCAATTGAGTCGGTCTATCTCCATATTGTAAGTGTGATTTGAACTCGTAAACATAATGGAGTAATGAGTTAGTCTTCAGGTTTAAAGGAGTAGTTCACTTTAAAAAAAAAAAAACTTTTGCTGATAATTTACTCACCTCCATGTCATCCAAGATGTCCATGTCTTTCTTTCTTCAGTCGAAAAGAAATTAAGGTTTCCGATTAAAACATTCCAGGATTTTCTTCAATGGGGTCCAAACGGTCTAAATGAGAGTTTCAGTGCAGCTTCAAAGGGCTTTAAACGACACCAGACGATGAATAAGGGTCTTATCTAGGACCCTTCGAGTCATGACTCGAAAAAAGATTCGTTAATTTTGATGAATGAGTTAGAACAGGAGAGTCACGAACGTGTCGCGCATCACAGAACAGAGCAAGGCGAGCATTTGTGCTTATAAAACTTAAATTTTTGTATTTATTTTTTGAAATGAGCGATCGTTTCGCTTGATAAGACCCTTATACATCGTCTGGTGTCGTTTAAAGCCCTTTGAAGCTGCACTGAAACTCTCATTTGGACCGTTTGGACCCCATTGAAGTCCATTATATGGAGAAATATCCTGGAATGTTTTCATCAAAAACCTTAATTTATTTTCGGCTGAAGAAAGAAAGACGTGGACATCTTGGATGACATGGGGGTGAGTAAATTATCAGCAAAAGTTTTTTTTTTAAAGTGAACTACTCCTTTAAGAGTATTTACGTAATACATTGCAATGTTCTTCTTCTGTGGAACACAATATATTTTATGATGTTTCTGGGTAATACTTTACAATAATAATGCATGAATAATCATACCTGAATTAATAATTACTTTACTATGAACTAATTATGAGTTAAGACATGTGCCGATGAGGAACTAACCTTAACTACGATAGGAGTCATATGAATTCATGCATGAATATACCATTTTGACTACACGTTAGTACATGCTTGTTAATGCACATTGCACTACATTAGCAAGTGTAATTTCACTTGCTCTATATGGACACATTTTGTGGCCCAAAACTAACATCAGACTGCATTATGATATAAAGACCGTAAACCAATCCATAAAATAACCACATAAATAACATAAATCATCTGTGCTAACACCGATTTTAAATTAACAAGCATGTACTAACGTGTAGTTAAGATGGTATATTCATGCATGAATTCATATGTTAGTTCCTCATTAGTATATGTCTAAACTCCTCATTCATTAGTAAAGTAATTTAGTAAAAGCAACTCATTAGTAAAGTAATTATTAATTCAGGTATTAGGACATGATTATTCACGAACTGTTATTGTAAAGTGTTACCCGCTTTTGTTAATACAATGAAAGTCAGTGGGGTACAAACACACACACACACACAGAGAAAAAAGCTTTTCAAATGTTCTTCACCGAAAGAGAAAGTCATTAGGTTTGGAATAAAAAAAAACTGCTTTAGGTCAAAAACTGTTGTTGTTCAATGTCATATTATATGTAAATGAATATCAATGGTTGTTTAAAGCGAAAGTAAAATTTGGGGGAGCTCAAAAAAGGACATTTTAAAGAACAATAAAAGTGTCGTTTTTTCTTAAACATAATCAGAGATCAGTTTCAAGAGTATTCAAGAAATATATTCACCAAAATCATATTATTTTTGTCTTTCTCTGTTGAACACACATTTGATATTTCGAACTTTCGTTTTTGCTTATGCAATGAGAGTCAATGGGGTCCAGAGCTTTTAATTTGATAAATTATCTGAAGAAATAGTCATTCATGTGTGGATGATGTAAAATGATGACAGGACAGGGTCATCGTTTACATGAGATCTTTAATCTTGCTTTTATTTTGTGATTATTTTAACTCCTTTTGAATGGACAGTGTATGAAATGTGCTAAATAAATAAAATTCCCTTTCCTATTACTGTAGCATCTTATTCACCAAATAAAGAGATAACTATCTTGTTTCACACTTTAATATCTTTATTGAGGAACAAAACGTTTTACACATGAAGTCAACTAATGTGCTATTTACAATATGTATCTGGATGAGTGAAAACACAGAAAACAGGAGAATGAAACAGAGAGAATCAAACGTATATTCCCTTTCTCTTTTTCTCTGTTTAAGCCATGCAGTAACAGCCGGATGATATGCTCATCGGGTTCACATGCATGTTAATCATTAGCCGTGTGGAAGTTGTAAAGTGTAAAATGAAGATGCAACACCTCCATCTCTTTAACCCAAATCACTCCATCTCACGGACATTACTCGTTTTGACGGCTTGTGTAGATTGATAAGACTTATTAGAGAGTTTTACAGTAACAATCATTTAAATCATTCATATGCAACCAAGCAAACTTTTTTTAATTTTTTATATTTAATATTTATATTTAGAATCAAACAACCTGAAAACTTGTGGAAAATTAAATTACCTACAGCTGTGGGATCCTGCATATTCATATACATATACCATAGCTGTCAACATTCAACAATGAAAAAAAGGGAGATTTCCCGGAATCCATCGCCAAAATAAGGGATTTTTTTTTACATTATTAAGAGCATAAGAAACAAATGAAAAAAAAAAAAAGATATTTTATTCCTATGTTATGCTATGACCTCTGTAGTGGACACCAGGACTCGATTGTTTAAAAAAAATGACATGAAAATATATATAGGCAAAAATAATAACATCGTTTTTTTGTTTGTTTTTTTTTTGCCTGGAAACGCTTCCAACACGCTTGCGTGTCGCGTTAAAAATAGGCATCTCTGGTTCTATTTCTAGCATGCACGCGTTTGCGAGTGTCACGCAGGCAGTGTGCAAGCTCTAATCGGTTAACATGGGAGCTGAAATAAAAATAAAAACGGTCACGCCACGCACCTGAGACGCACGCAGCCAGTGTGTCTCCGGTATTTTACGGGAAAATACTAAAACGGGAAGACAGCGGGAACAGAGATAAAATATGTGAGAAACCCGGAAAAAAACGGGAGGGTTGACGGCTATGACATATACATATGTAACATATATATGGATATGCAGGATCATGCAGGATCCCACAGCTATTGGTCATTTCATGCATATATATAGATATATATATATGAAATGTCTCAAAATTGATGCATACACTGTGTTGCAAGCACACAACAGAACTGTTTGTGCTGAGAAGGGATGAGAAGTTTCTTATCAGATGCAGGAAATCACATGATATGATCAGGAAACCACATTTAAGAAATTTACACCACCGGCTCTCTTAAGCCCTTCTCAACTCATCACAGTTATAAAAACTGATAAAAATAAAGCGGTAATGACAGCGTTCGGCTAAAAACCATTGCTTAACCAACCTAACATCTATAAACCAAACTCAAGCTGAAGGAACTGACCGAACACGACACAACTCTTAAGGCCATTGCACACTGAGTCCGAACTTTTCGTATGCGTTTTTTCGTGTTCGTCAGCCGGAAAATTCGTCACGCACAGAAACCTTCCACACTGAGTCTGATGCGTATTTATTAAAACCTTTGCGGAAAAAACGTACAAAAATACTAAATGGATTCGTCAAGCAGTGAGGATGATTTTGTTGCCCTCTAAAATAGAGCCAGACCGATATATCGGCCGATATATCGGATATTATCGGCTGATATTAGGCATTTTCCATAATATCGGTATCGGCAGTTAATGGCTGATAAATGAATATTTAAAAAATAAAATAAAAACGGACGAAACGCGCTTCAATCATCTCTCCTTGGCCTGTTAAATTGAAAATGTATGTTTTACAATTTGCATTATGATGTTATCTATAGCTAAATTATGGCTAATCATAGACTAGCTAACCACAAAGCTAGCTAATACCACTATCATCAGTGGAAGACCGCTAACGTTAACATTAATGAGCTTGGAAACCACAATGAACTTTTTCTGCCTAAATAAAGTAATGATTACTGTATTTATAACTAGCATATCTCTAGTTACAGTCCCTGCATTGTAAAATGTAAGTTAGACTTGCGAGGAGTGAACATTTAGACCTAGAGAAAAAGTATCAAACGCATCTTGAGCAGAAAAGTTAGCTTTTCTTTTACACGTGTGTGAAATCCAACAATATTTAATAAAAAAAAAATATCGGCCGATATATCGGAATAACGCATTTTAAAACCCCCAAATATTTGTATCGGTATCGGCCTTCAAAATCCTTTATCGGTCGGGCTCTACTCTAAAATATTGGGTCCATCCAATCCTGAAATCAGGGCTGCCAACTCTCAACCATTCAGGCAATTGAGCCAATTCTCACGCTCTCACGCCACACTCCTGATTTCTCACACTGATGTGTCAAGCCTGAAAGATGAGTTTATCTGTTGAGGCACTCGCGATCCACTAGTTTTACTGCAAATTAATTAAAATATCCTGTAATCTTATCTAGAGCGAGCGTGCATACGAGGTTGAGCTCCTAACCGCGCACGACGGCCGAGAGGTAAGCAAGAGGCAACCTAACCTACAGGTTGTTCCCAAATAATACATTAGCTATCGAATTGGCTGCTCAATCACACCTTAGTCGATCCGAAATTTCGATCTGATCGGAAGGGGAGGTTTATTCCTTTTCTAATCCGATTGAGAGAACATAAACACTTGATCGAATTGAAAACCGAAAGTGCGGAACGAGCTCTGAATTGTCAAAAAACCTCTCAAAATGCTGGCTGTGGTTGCGAAAAAAGCGTGATTGACATAACGTGAGGTCGCAGTTTTTTTTAACGTGCGAAAATTTCGGATGCGAATTTTGGACTCAGTGTGCAATGGCCTTTACATACAGTCACGACAAATGATGCTCTCAACCAGTATGAATAAAAGCGCAAGTGGATCTAATTAGAGTCGTTCACACTGACGGCATAAATATCAATCATTTTACATTGTGATTTTTTTTCTATTTATATTGTCTTTTCTCAATACACATGATTTCAAAGCAAAGCACCTTTACAAAAAAAAACGTAATGTTCAAATCTGCATTATCTTCATTCCTAATAATCTCATAAAAAGGTAATAATAGTTACATTTATACAAGTTTTGCGATTTGCTATATGTCTCACTCTACTGTATGCATGCAAATAAAATTTGATATACTATATGTCCAAGTTTACATGAAGATCTGGGAAATAATATAAATGGATTACATTTAATAAATGATCAATGAAACCTGAGTTGAGTGCATTTACATTTCTGCCTTTTATCCAAAGCAACTTAATAAAGTTTTTTTCTGGTAGAAACTAATTGAACCAACTACACTACATGACTTCAGTAACTTTAAGCCATTTAACCCAGTCAGTGTGAACAAACTTTTAGACTTCTTTGCTCTGTGTATTTTAAGAAATTATTACAGCAATACTTTTCTGTAAACATTTCTTTTTAAACATATTTTTATATTTTTATACACTTTCTTTTTCATGTTCGAAATAAACATTTCAAACTCAAATTCAGCATTTGAAGTAACATGTACCATAATAAATAAAACTTATTTGCAGATGCATTAAAGTTAAATTCTCATAACTAACTAGTATCTGCTAAAATCTAGTTTTAGTTGCTTTGATATGTTTAAATATATTTATTTTCATGACTTTTGAGTAATTGACCACATCAGATACCCTCCTCGAGACTCGTGATGAAAAGTTTGCTTTCATTTAAAGTTTCCTCTTGTGATAGCGGCAGACAGCACACTTCACGAAGCGCTAAAAACAGAAGTGCTAGTTTGATGGAAAAAATCACACATATTTGGTTTCCTCTTTTTTTCCTTCAGCTTGGTGAACTCGATATCTTACAGTTTTACCCAGAAACGAACTAGTCCAGCTAACATGAAACGTAACATTCTGGCAAGGCTCTCTTAAAGTTATGAACAAATGTTTATCCAGTGACTTTAAATGTTAGCATAAAAATTTTTCTTTTCTATGCAACTTTTTTATTTTTATTTTTTTTATGTTTCGAGAAGTAACATTTTAATGTTACCAATAATGAAATTGAACGTTCCTTTAACGTTTGCATAACCACGAAATGCAGTGAAAAAAAAAAAAAAAAAAAAGACCAGAGTACATTAAGAAATAACTTTTGTGTAACTTAATAAACATTCTAAGAACATGTTTTTGTTAGCTAGGATAGTCCATAACACCACACAATATCAACACACAATCCCATCATCAACATGTCAAACAAAAAAAAAAAATTACAAAAACGTTTCTCCCGATACTCCATGAATATGCTTTTGTATAAACTACAAAACTTCCAAAGTGAACAAGGACTTCATTTACACACGTTTGGTTGTGAAACTAGGGTCTCTGTACCTGAGCGTACAAACACTCCTCCTTAGGCACCCGGTGAGCGTTTGACTGGTTCGGAGTGAACGTCACCTCTCCGTATTGAACCTCTTCCTCTTTTAACTCCTTCCTCTTCGTCTGCGGCCCGACCGCAGCGTGTTCAACATCAGTGGCCGGGAGAGATTCTGCAGACAGGAGAGGAAAATGATGACAGGACAAGACTGTTAGACTCCTGGAAACAATAGCAACATTACCACAGCTGGAAACCCACAAATACTTTCCAGTAGTGAAACTCTTTTACTGAGAGTGTAGCAAACAAAACCATAGATCCACACAAAAAAAAAAAATTAAGGACTCACTACTCTACAGAATAATTCACTTATTTACTCATTTGTGTGAGAGTCATCCTCTTTAAATGGAAATCTAAACCTTTGTTTCTATTGCTGGTGTTATTACTCTGAACCACTGACATCCGATTGAGCTAAATCCCTAAACCGAAAATTAATTCGGATTGAGCTCAATCGGATCGTTTTGTAGTTCAATCGAGCCGTCAATCCGATTATAAGCGTCCGTGTAAAGCAATCTGCAATACAAATCAACTAGACTTTACATGTGAAAAGTGAAATGTGAAAGTGAATGTATATGACCTTAAAGCGATAGTTCACCCCAAACATTACATTTTTGTCATTACTTAATCAACCTCAAATTATTACAAACATGTATGAGTTTCTTTCATCTGTTGAACACAAAAGATGACATTTCAAAGAATGTTGGTAACCAAACAGTTGACGGTATCGACTTCCATAGTACACTCTCAGAAAAAAAGGTACAAAAGCTGTCACTGGGGCTGTACCTTTTTAAAAGGTAAACTTTTGTACCCAAAGGCTGCATATTGGTACCTTAGTGGTACATTTAAGCAGCTAAAATGTATATATTAGCACCTAAAATGTACATATTAGCACCTAAAATGTACTTAGCTCCTGAAATGTACATATTAACACTTAAAATATACATATTAGCACTTAAAATATACATATTAGGACCTAAAATGTACATTTTAGGACATAAAATGAACATTTTAGGACCTAAAATGAACATACTAGGACATAAAATGTACATATTAACAACTAAAATGTACTTTTTAGCACCTAAAATATTCTTAGCTCCTGAAATGTACATATTAACACTTAAAATGTACATATTAGCACTTAAAATATACATAGTAGGACCTAAAATGTACATATTAGGACCTAAAATAAACATATTAGGACCTAAAATGAACATACTAGCACATAAATTGTACATATTAACAACTAAAATGTACTTTTTAGCACCTAAAATGTACTTAGCTCCTGAAATGTACATATTAACACTTAAAATGTACATATTAGCACTTAAAATATACATATTAGGACCTAAAATGTACATATTAGGACCTAAAATGAACATATTAGGACCTAAAATGAACATACTAGGACATAAATTGTACATATTAACAACTAAAATGTACTTTTTAGCACCTAAAATGTACTTAGCTCCTGAAATGTACATATTAACACTTAAAATGTACATATTAGCACTTAAAATATACATATTAGGACCTAAAATGTACATATTAGGACCTAAAATGTACATATTAGGACCTAAAATGAACATACTAGGACCTAAAATGTACATAATAACACCTAAAATGTACATATTAGCACGTAAAATGGACAAAAGTTTACCTTTTGAAAAGGTACAGCCCCAGTGACAGCTTTTGTACCTTTTTTTTCTGAGAGTGTAGGAACACAAATACTACTTTCCAAAAATGGAAAATGTAATGACAAAACTTTCATTTGGGTGAAATATCTTCAGGCAGTCGCTGTAGCATCACTAATAAAAAAACACATGCTGAAAGAATCTTGTGTTGTGTTTGTTTGTAAATGATGTAGTGTTTTTTCGTTCATACCGGATTTATTCTTTCCCCTCTTTTTGTTGTGTTTCTCATGAGAGATCTGAGCATAAACCAGCTCCGTATCTCCAGCAGGGGCTGATGGGAAAAACTAAGATTAGCCTCATATAGACTCCAATCAGACTTCAATCATTAATGAATTATAAGATTCAAAACTAGCCTCTATAAGTGAACACATAATTCTCAGATCATGCGACATTAGATCAACAGAAAGGAGAAGACAGAATCTTCTCCACCTGGTGATTTATTGGACCTTATTAATAAAATTTCTGTAAATGTATATTTTAAATGTAAAAGTAAATTCAGAGATGCAAAAAGTACCCTCCTATAAACTCTCCTCTGGATTCATAAATGCTTCATAAAATTCAGACTTTATAGTTAAACGGCATACATACAGTATATACATATAAGTTTTAGATGTTAAAAGATGGCGTACATTTTTTTCATACCATCTTACATTGTGAAAATACGCTTTCATAAATACAAACATTTATGTCAGAAAGGTTTTATGAACGATTTACAAAAATAATAAGGCCCAATGACTTTTATCATGCTCATCTGCGAGTACAATTAATGGTCAAAAATCTTAATTGAGTCAAATAATCAGGTTTAAAGTCAAGATTTTTCTTTCTACATATTCATGAGGCCTTTCTGCCATTTTGAACCAATTTGCCTATTGTTTTTCATAACTCAACATGGCAAGGTTTGTCAAATCTCCACCAAAACTGGCTCGGATCATCTTCACCACAACTGTGATGTCTCTAACTTCTTGTCTTTGGACCCTTTTTCTTTCCAAATCTGTGCAGCATATATAACATGCATACCACAAATCTCCTCAGCATTTTGAGGAATATTAACCAATGCATTTGTCTCTGCAATTGCTGCTTGCATGCTACAGCATTACATTTACTTTAACATCAGCAATTTAAATTAGATTCAAACTGACCTGGTGTTGACTTGACCTGTTTCCTCTTGTAAAAGTGACATACAGTGATGAACAGCAGAATCAGCACCAGCGCAACACAGCCCAAAATGATCATAAACAATTGTATTGCTATGGAAAGAAGCAGCACAAGGTCATTTTAACCAAACTCCAAACCCGCTTCTAAACGTTCATTCAAATCAACTGCAACAGCAACAAGAATTTAAGAACTTTAACAACTAAAAGTAAGGGAAAATTAGCTTCAGAACAGCCTGTGCCCCCCCTCTCACTGCCTTTATTATTATTATTATTAGGTTTATTTGTAATTTGCAGTATGCAGTAGTTCAACACACTCACTCATCGATAGATAAAATGATCCAGAGATTTGATTGTGGGTGAGAGTCGTACCAGTTGGAAACGAACTTGTACCATGTCCTGTTGTCTGTGTGCTACTGGCAAGTGTAGAGGTCAAACGAGAGGTCACCGCTACAGTAGTTGTTCCTGTAATAAAACATCACTGCAGAATCACCTGCATTCTCTATCAACCAATTAACTAAAACACGTCAACACAAATTAATGCTCATCATTTCGAAGAAACATTGCTCAGTTAAGTGAATCAATGCCTCTGAATCTCAGTGCCTTTTAGGGGCACTGAACCAATTTCATATAGACATTTACACCCCAAAACTCACCTCTAATGAGGAAAATGCAACAAAAAAAGTCTCATTAACATATATATATATATATATAAATACGATATATTATGAAATTGAAACATATAGAATGGTAGTATTTATCCATTTACGATGCTCAATAAAACCATCCCTTTACACTTATGTAAAAATATGCAATTGGAGTGATAATAATCAAATCAAAATGATCATTGTGAATAATTGTTTACAAATCATTTTTAAAATTATGGAACATTACAATAAAGCAGATTTAGGGAGTGTTTTACTTCTTGTCACAATGACACAAAAAAAAGAATGTGAAACAAAAAGTCCTCGTACAAAATACATTCTTCATACAAAATATAATTTCTTTTGATTTTGGGGTGAAATGTGGTAAGCCATGTTCTAGACAGGCTTTGTGAGATTCACACCTCTGCATTACTCTTGTTGCTGTTGCTGTTGTGGTTCTCAAACTTTTTACACCAAGTACCACCTCAGAAAATATTTGGCTCTCCGAGTATCACCATAATGACCAATGTGAAAATACAGTAGCGTAATAGGCCTAACTATTCAGCTACGGTTATGCACAGCTCAAAAATGAGGCAGTTTGATATCTAATAAGAATATTTATTATTGTCTGCCACTTTAAACATTATAAAAGCACAGATTGAACATTAAAAACTGCACTGTTCTGCTGACAGGTAAATAAAAAAACTTAAATAATGATTAAATGCAAATGTATTGCACCTGAAAGTAAAATAAAAACGGTAGCTTACTGTACTTAAAATATGAAGGTAACGTACATGTAAATTTTTTACATGTACGTTGATGTAAATTTGTAATCATTAAAGGAGATCGTAAGGTGCGTTCCATTCGACCGTAAGTGGACTGCGAAGTGGACTTCACAGGGTATTTCGCCATCTTATGTGAGATTCCAGTTCGAAGGGAACGAACATGTTCAGTTCGAAGGGCACTGCAAACGGCATAGCGAATAAGGGAACATCGATACATCACTTCACAGGAAGTCACTGAAGTCCACTTCAACTGATATACCGTGTTCAGGGAGTAGGGAGCAGTGAACACTGCGTAGGGACCCTGGCGAATGGAACGCACCTATTGTTTAGAACTTATCACTTTGTTTCCATGGTGACGCGTCATTGTTTGTCACGTGACACACCGCAGCCACTGAATGACTAACAATCTGCTTTTATTTCGACTTTTAATTCAAAATATTAACAAATTTGTCAGCTATGGCATGAAATATTTATAATATTTATATATATTTATAATATCATATTTTATATTCCAATTGTCAAATATATGCAAGTGAAAGTGTTATGTCATTTAAACACCTTTATAACGAATGCGTTAGGTGCGCTATATGCGCCTGCATGTTAGTTTGTGCCACTGTAATGTGAAATCGTTTCGTACGCTCCAGGGACCAGCCAAGACTGATCACACAGTAGACTATAAAAGATCACACCGGTTTGATCTTACGTGCGAAATTCAGTGAATACATGGATATTTATGAATGAAAAGCTCACCAGGACAGTCTAGACTAATGTTCTTCTGTTGTTGACTGACGTGGTTCTTCACACTACAGATGACGACTCCTTCAGTCGTCTCATTCAGATGAATGTTGGTGTTTGCATCCGTCAGTGGATCTCCATTCAGAGTCCAGCTGTAGACGAGCGAATCCCCGTCAGAAGAGCAGGACATGGACTTCCCCCCACTGGAGGAGCAGGTGAGTGACACATTCACTGAGCCAATAGGAGCTGGAGGGCGGGACACATGACAGTACAGTCACAAGTCAATTACAAGACAATTTTAAACACACTTATTGCTGCAATAATAGCTGGACATCACTGAATTAAATATGCAGCATAGGTTAGTCATGTGACAGCAATGTACTGTAGCAAATGACTGTTTAAGTTTGAATCTGCTTTTACCCACTACTTTGTAACAGTAAGCAATATACAGTAAGCAACTAGTTTTCAATTTTGAAAATAGTCTTAGTACACTGAAAGTTCAGATCCTTTTAACTAAATAATAATAATATTAAAAACCTTCTCAGAGATTGCACTGATTCGTCTGCATGAGAGTGAGATCATTGGAGATCATGAGATTGTAATGAGTCTGATGAGAGTTACTGTACCTTCAACTTTCACTTGAAGATATGCAGGTTTTTCTACGCCGTCTGTGCGATCGATGAGTAAAGTGTAATTCCCTGAATCTGCTCTGATCACACGGTTTATTATCACAGTCCCATTAATGACTGTCACTTCAGGTCTGTTATTATAAAGATCACATTCTTTCTCAGTTTTAGTGTCATTCTTTACTCTACAAAATGGATCATCTTGATTGTTGTTTATTCTCTTTCTTATCCTCAGTTTATATATTCTAGCATCCAGCATCTGCAGATTGAGTTTGTGTCCCAGAGCAGCGTAACAGGGATCTGACTGATTAAACCTGCAGGTAAACTCCACACCTGAAGAACAACACACACACACACACACACACACACACACACACAGAGAGAGAGAGAGATCAACATACATGCAGAGTGCTACTGCTGATGAAAATATCTCATCATGAACTAAAATCAGACACAACCATGGAAAAGGTTTATTCCACCCAAATATTGTAAGGGACAGTATATGCTGCAAAATCCATATATATAAATTGCATTATATTAATGTATTTTTAATCATATATGTCATATACTGTATGTCCTACATACAAAAGCCATATAGATTTTCACAATGTAAAAACATAGGATCATAATATGAAGATATTGTCGGTGCAAAACTACTGAACACCCATGACAGTGGAACGTGTAGTTGTAGAGAATAACCACACGTGTAACAGTAGATTTGAAGACACAGAGAGAAATGTTTAAGAGTTGCAAACTTGTGGACTTTTTTAATCTTCCACAAACACAACACAACAGTTACACCTTCTCAAATTCTCCATTGCAGGCGCACAAATCATATTCTACAAATCACAAATTAAGAAACACGTACGCTCACATTTTTGCTACAGTGACTGCAGTGAATGTGGTGCAAAACGCATTTACACACCTGCATCAAAAAAAGAGAAATTTTGCTAATCAGATTGTGAATTCATCCAATGAGAGCTGCACACTTGTAGAATATTTTCTCACATATGTCTTGTATATTTTTCTAGCACAAACACAAGTACATTACATCTGCTGCGATGAATCTCAAGATCTGTTTTTCGCTTTCAAGTGAAAAGTTTCGCGCGCTCCCCCTTTTACACCAAGTTCACCGTGAAATGTGGTGCAAAAGTGAGTTGTGCGTCTGTAGAGGCCGTGGGCGGAGCCTACATTAATATTCATGAGTTTCGTGGGCATCAAACTGCTCATTCTAGTTCACGCTCCTCCTTTCTCAGCCAGTTTAATGGATTATTTCAAAAAAGGTAAATACAGTTTCAGCGCGAACTTAAACTACAATTGTGAATCGTTTCATTAAGCATAATGTTTATTAATTCGTCACTGACTGAACGATTGCTGGTATTCACTTCATGTAGGCCTATAAAGCACAGCAAACTTCAACTCGTCGTGTAAATTGCACCTTGCGAAGCTTTAAAACTGTGTATTTACTAATTGTTATCATTTGTGACAAATTAATAAAAACATTATGCTTAACAAAACGATACACAATTGTAGTTTAAGTTTGCGCTGAAACTATAATTACCTTTTTTAAAATAATCCATTAACCCTCCTGTTACCCTCAAATCTGATAACACTTTTTACCCTCTGGGGTCAATTTGACCCCAGTAATTTAAACCTCCACAATATGTTTATTTTTTTTTACAAAGGTTTGTCTCAGTTAATTTATGTCTTTGTTGACTACTTAAGTAACGTTTTAAGTTGACATCCACCCACCACCCCCCTCCCCTCCCCACCCCACCTAACCCCTTATACATCCAGAATACCCATTGCACGACTATGGACAAATTTACAAATCAACATAAAATCTTACTGATTTGACCTAAAATTGGAAAAGTATAAATATATCTGGTGTTTTATTTGTTTTATAATATTTCTAAGTATAGATTTTTTGTAATCTATGACATTTGGAAAGAAAAACTATTTATTTTATCAAGGATAGTAACACGAGTTATGTTTGGGGTCAATCTCACAAAAATTATGTTTTCTCCTCCCCCATGGCACAGGAAACATCAAATTTCTCACAAAAATGATGTTTTCCCCTCCCAAATGCACAGAAAAGAATTATTAGTTATCTTGAGAATTATGTCACATGTCATGTGAACTACTAGTAGTTTGGTTTAGAGGCCTAAAACAGAGGGACGTTTTTTGAAAATGATATTGAATATGTAAAAATACAATGAACATTATAAATTCAAATTATAACATGTTATAATGACCTCAATATAACAACTAAAACAAATGTGTGTGAAAATTTAATATTTCTTCTGTTTTATTATACAACTAAAAGAGCCTGGGGTCAAATTGACCCCAAGGAACACAGATGTTACAAAATTTGTACAGGACTTTGAAAAAATATTAGCAGGTTAATTTTATGTTTACAGAGTTGTCCCCATTAAATTAGGAAACGTCATTAAATTTGAAGCAAAAAAAAAAAAAATTAAATTATGTTTTTACAGACGTTAAACATTGAATGGGGTCAAATTGACCCCAAGGATAATAGGAGGGTTAAACCTGCTGAGAAAGGAGGAGCGTGAACTAGAATGAGCAGTTTGATACCCGCGAAACTCATGAATATTAATGTAGGCCCCGCCCACGGCCTCTAAAGATGCACAACTCACTTTTGCACCACATTTCAC